ATTGGAAATTTATTATTCAATGCATTTTTAATCATGATATGCCAGCTAAGACTGCACTAGATCTGTGTTCCCAGGGGTGGTGGAGATTGGGTCAGGTGTGGCCAATGGGCAACTCTTCCCCTCTGCAGTACAAGAGAGCCACAATGTTCATGCCTGGTCTCAAGGCACAGACTTAACTGAAAAGTATGGCACAGTTTAGAATGAGTTCAAAACTGGCTGTAAAGGAACTTTTTAGAAAAGTAATTCTCTTGTCCAGTGTCTCTTTATGTGGCCCTTTTCTTCATATTCTCTGATAATGACCATCAAGACAGAGAGGGGAAAGTTATCATTTAGTGAACCAGGGGCCAGCAATGGTTGATTTATATATATATAAAAAAAAAAAATTGATCTCCCACACTTTGGTCACAAAACAGGGCCCACTAAGGTGTCTTACCAGCATGTTGCTTTCACTGTGTCCCCTGGTCTCTATGTTAAGCAGTATAAAGAGGCCAGTCTTTGCAGCATTTTCATCACAAAATGAGACCTGCATAATTGCATTGTGAAATTTACTTTCTTTAGTAATATGTGATGAAAACCTTGACTTCCCCTGGTTAGACAAGTCTTTCAATGAATAATGAGTTATATTCTGTCAAGCTGAATGAGAGGACAGGAAAAAGGGAAACTGACAAATAAAGTTAGAAAGAGGAGTGACAAATAATAAGTATGTCAACAAGATCAATACCAGTAAGAACAATAATAAAAATAAAAAAATAATAATGAACTTCTGAATCTGAGATAAAATAAAACAAGTGAAAAACAAAAATAATAACAATAATAATAATAATAATAATAACTGGCTCATCAACAAACTCATCAAGATACAGAGTAATAAACTCAATCCATGTGAAAGACTTTCTTCTTAACCTGTCACTGTAGACAACCAGGCTGCAGTAAAGCCTGTCTGTGTTACCTCCTTCATGTAGCAGCTGTTCCCTCATGATTGGAGATGTAAGCGTCACATTTACTGAGATCCGCTGGTCACCAATGTTTTGGACAACCAAAGCTGCTTCCTCAACTACTCTCTGGATGTCATATTTGTCTTCTGGTGCCACAACCTATGGTACATACAAGTAAGAGTTTTAGTCATTTTTATCTTAAACACCTAGATATGCAAGTTTACATAAAATTAAATGAAATTGAAAAGACAGCAGTCTAGAATAGGAAAATTTAACCAAGAGACGGCAAACTGTGGCAAAGAAAAAAAATATATATAAAATAATAATAATAATAAAGTCAAGAAAGAAAGAAAGAAAAAAAAAAATAAATAAAATAAGTTCACTTATTAAACTCTCATATTATAGTTAAATATTGAAGAGAGGCCAAGAAACAAAAACAGACACAAGACAGCAAACGGGTAAAGAAAGTAATATGTCTCAAGTATTAACCTTTTGTGAAAAAATCAAATAAAATTCAAACAGAACTTATAAAGATGTTTCTTTCATATCATTTACCTTACAAATTAATTCCTATGCATTATCAAGCTGTAATATGACTTAGACCTATTTGACTGCTCAAAAATAATAAACATTCTAAAGGAAATAAATCTTTGTCCCCTTACAAAGGAAAGTTCATTTCAGGAATTTTCCCTTATGAAAACAAAAAATTAAATTAAATGTATAACTAATTTTTCAAAACAACAAAAATTAACCATGTACAAAATAAAGAAATTATGGGAAACAAAAATGAAAAAGGAGGGGGGAATATGGTTCAAAATGGCAAATGATTTTAAAGAGGTACAAAAATGGCATCTAAACAAAAAAAGGGACCTAAATATAGGCATATATACATCTACATTCACACCTGATATTTCAACTGAACTTCCAAAGCACTACCACTGGCTCCAGAAAAACCTACCGCTAATTGTTTAGGGAGGTTATCCGCAACTCTGTCCAACAAAGTCCGCGTAGGTTTGTCTCCACAGAGCACCACCAGCTGCACACTTGTATCACCACGGAGTAGAAGACCTTTAGCCAGAATACCTACTCTCATTACACCCTTCAACATTCGGGGTGGACCATCCTCTTTCTTCTCCCTGTATTTGTTAGATTAATTGGTGAATTCTCTTGCAATATTATGAAGTATATCCTTCAGTGATGTTTTTATACATGAAATATGTGGAACAACAGATAAAAAGAGGACAAGTAAATATGGAAATAAGAACTGCCACTTGCATCAAGAAATATCCTTAATGAGACTTACCCATCTTTCTTATCTTCTCCTTCCTTTGCTTCTTCCTCCTTTTCCTTCTCTTTCTTTATCTTTGGCTTAACCTGTTGCTCTTTTGGCGCATCAACCTCTGCTAGGTAATCAGACACCATTTTCAAAGCCTTTTCTGTATTCGATACTATCTTCTGAATAGCTCCTAGTTCTTCTTCCTTGGGGTATATATCTGCATGCTTGGCCAACACATGTCTGTCATCGCTTGAGTCAGGTCTACGCATTGGCTGTATGGAGAAAGGAT